ATTGAATAGTTTTTAAAATATTTGATTCAGTTTTGGTATATTATAAAATTATTTAGACATATATTTAAAATATGCCTTAACAGGTTTGTTAGAAATATAAGGTACATTATAATGGTATATATTGTAATTTTTCAGACTTATCAAAGTATTAACAAAAATGTACCTTAAAAAATTGCAATTAATAAATCAAATCTAAATTTCTATTTATTGTAGAAATTAGCTCGATTTTTTCAAAAAAATAATTCATTTTACTTTATTTATGATTATGTTTTTGTAAACTATGATTATGTTAATTTAATTAATAAAAATGTTCTTAAATATAGAATTATTTGAGCTCCATTTACATCATATAATTGATATATTTTTTATATAAGAATTTTAAATTTAAAAATGTTTTTATTATAGTTACTGTTTATACATGATTGGTTGGTTTGTTGCAGTGGCAGGCCATAAGATAACTTCAAATGTATCTCAAGTAACGATTTTTCGCCATTTTGCTACCACATTCCTCCCAAAAACCCTAGTATAGAAGAGTAGAGACCTAATCCATCCCGCCGAATTTAGGTAATTTAATAGATCTTTCATCTTCATCATTGAGTAGTCTGATAAACTATTATAGAAGTATTTTCCTAAGAACCTATATCTTCTTGACGTTAAAGCCGGGCATTCACAGAGAAAATGTATTATTGTTTCTTTCTCCTGCAGGTTTCCATAAGTGTTTATACATATTTTCATTGTACAAAGCTTTAATCAATTTATGAAATAAAATTGTATGAACATATTAAATTTGATAAATACTACTACATCTATATTCTATAACTAGTATTGTACTTTTACACTTAGGTCCATTGTAGGCACCGTATAAGCAAAGAATCTATAGTACAAAGAAGTGCCACGCTCATACAAATGAAATACCCACTTTATTTTGCTGGTGGATTTATAATAAATCCACCCAACCTCATGCAACAATGTTCGATCGAATCACAACTGGTATGATGTCCAGTTCAAACTCATTGCAACCCACAATTGTTTTTATACGCCTGTTCCTTTTGCCTTTCTTCTTTTTATTTGTCTATTTTATTAATATACATTGATTAGTAGCGAAGTGAATCGTAAAGAAATCCCTCAAATAATATTTCGATATACTTTGTTGCTTTATCTTCTTGTACTGGAAAGGCTCATATCATAGGAGTAAAGAGTAATATAATATATTATTTTTTTTATTGCAACAAATGATGCACTACAAAAACCATTATGTATGTACAAATGTGATATTGGAGACATTAAGTCTACAGTATATTAATATGTATGTTTTTTTTTATTGCACATGCATATATTTACCTCAAAAGGAACTACTTCTTAATAGTTTGAATTTTTGATGACTTTTTGTGATTATTTTAAAATTTTTTTTTAAGATTCATATAAAAGTGTTAGAAAAGTATTTTAAAGAAAATAAAAATATTAGAAAAGTAAGAAAAATTATATTGAAAAAATGTATAGAAGTCACTAAAACCAATAATAATGCTTCCTGGTTTGAGGAAGCGCATGAATCCTATTTACAAAGGATTGAAATGTTAAAATTGGTGATTACGATATTGCTTCGGAAACATTGCGCATGGACAACATTTAAGAATAAAGCTTCATAGAATGGAAAAAATCAGATTTGAGACATAAATAAATTTGTAATGTGTTTTTACACTACAATTCATAACAATATCAAACAGGTAATTTTGTTTCATATGCTATTAAATTCAAAAACTTATCAAATGTACACAATTTTGACTTCGTCACTGAAATGCTGTTTGATCGCTTGAACATTTTACAGCGAACAAACATACAAACATGCATATAATGTAATACAGAGGGTTGCATGTATGATTGAATACGTATGCAGTCGGGCTTTTGTCAGCCTTACTCGACTCACATATAGGTTTGAACTGGACATCATACCAGTTGTGACTCGATCGAACATTGTTGCATGAGGTTGGGTGGATTTATTATAAATCCACCAGCAAAATAAAGTGGGTATTTCGTTTGTATGAGCGTGGCACTTCTTTGTACTATAGATTCTTTGCTTGGACGATAGTGTGCACATATCGAGACTTGCGAGCTCAGCATTTATGCCTCGCGCAAGTTCTTTTAAATAAAAATAAGATATCATATTTCTTTTGCATAAACTTTTCACAGTTTACCATGAGAATAGAAAATAACATGGTCAGCAAATAAGTCAAAGCTATGTACACACTACACCTCCATTTTTTGGAGAATGATTTATAATTGCGAGTGGAATTATAAAATTATTCTGATTAACAATTATCAATTGATATTATATATTATATATATTATAAATTATTATTTTTACAAATTATAAAATTAAGTTACAAATTTTCTTATAATCTAGTTAACTGACGTCAGTGTAAATTATTATAACATATACGAAAAAAAATTAAATTATACAAATACAAAATATTTATATATATGGTATTTCAATATTTTACCTGCAATTACACTGTTTGCATACGGTTTTATTTATTTTTTTTCTTTTTTTTTTTCAATCCTTATTTTTATATAACTTAAGTCGATCCTTATGTACCGTAATAATAGGCAAGTTCTTGACTTTAATTCTACAGTTATTTTTATCATCTATACTTATAACCTCATAGGGGCCTATATATTTATTTTCTAGCTTATGTCCTATTTCATTTCTTAATAAAACTTTATTTCCTATTTCTAAGTTAAGGGTATTTCCTTTTCTATCATAAAATTGTTTTTGTTGGTATTTTGATTTCTCGACCAACCTTCGAGCTCGATCAGTTGCATTCTGCAGCTTAAATTTGAGCTCTTTGTCGTAAGCGTAAAGGTTATATATCGGTTTCTTTTCGCCTACAAAGTGTAACGACACACTTTCTGTCGCTGATGATGCTGATGTATACTCAGCCGTCGTCCAGGGGTCGTTGCAATAGAATTTTTATTTTGGAAGTCAAAGACAATGTGATGTAGTAATTCAATTATTTAATTAGGAGAATTTAAAATAAAATAAGGTTTTACAATCTAATATAATTATAATATAATGCTGGTTTGCTAATTTGATGACTACGATTATTTGGAATAATTGTGCTTCGATGATTGTTCCGATTGTTGTTTCCACGTGCCTGAAATGTTTCTGTCAGACGACACTACTTGTGCTAATCTTGGTGTTTTGTCAGAAGACGTCGTTAACTGGAAATTAGAAGTGTTATGCTGGGTTACAGCCTTGGTTAGCATTCATTAATGTTAGGACGTATTACTACCCTAACTCCAACCTACAGAAAATCCTACTAGTCAAGATGTATCATGACGACCTTGGCTTGATTTACATATAAGACTACATATACAATTGTAATGGACCTAATTTTTCCTAGCCGGGGTAGTTCTCAGCCTAGTCCAAGGTCTTACAAGAAAATTTCATTCGCGGGGACCCAGCGTTCAACTAATGTCGTTTCTACCGTCGAAGTAAGATGCCGTACAACAAAGTAATTATTTTTGATTTAAAGTTTTTTTCTTTCTGACATTCTGTAATTATGTATAACATAATAATTTTAACTAAAAGACATTTATCAAATATATTCTTTACATTACTCGTACGATTATAATCAAATTATTTATGATTTCCATTTTTTTTTACAATTTTGTAATTTATGTTATCACCATAATGTATTTAATCAAAAAACAATTTAATACATAATGTCTTTTGCAATTCTCGTCGTAATAATCAGCATATATTTACTGTTTTTAAAAAAAAATAATATTAATTAATCATATTTTAAGTTTAACGTTTTATAAATGCATTTTTGTGTTCACTTAAATACAACAAAATTTATAAAAAAAACTCATAAAATGTTTTTAAATAAAAATATAAGGGAAGAAGAATTTATGTGAAGATTACTTTGGTATTTCACTTAGAATTTTATGTAATATTTTTACATTCCTTAAATGTGGATTAAGTAATTAAATTTTTAATGTTACACTTTATAATTAATTAAGATTATATTTGCATATAACAGAATACATTTTTTCACAAATATCTTGTTTTCAGTTGTTTAATTTCAATTTTTACAAAGATACATTTTTTTTCATAGATTCTATTTCATAAGAACTAATAATTCATGAGCTTGTTGTGTTTAGAAAGTTTATGCTCCTATGCGCTTAACTTGAAGCCTTTACGATTGTGATTGCCTTGTTGTTACTTTTCTCATTTCCAGTTAAATGAATGAAGTTTGTAGATATTCAATTATACAATTTGGAATTTGTTAATTTTTAAGCAATTCGTCCGATTTAAATAAAATAGCTTATAAATTCACGCTTATACATTGAAGTTACTTACGCGAAAATCTGCACTGTATTGTATACATATATAAGTCTTACCCTCTCTGGTACATCAGGGCTGCTTACAACGTCCAGCGATGATTATCAGGAAACGCCAATCAATTTAAACTTTGCCACGTATCGGAGACAAAGAGACACCCAAGCCGCGCCACGTCTTTTGCTTGTGGTGTCAACACGTTTATACGTTCGAACGAGCACCAGTACAAAATCTTTTAGTTGACCACTGTTAAAGCCGTCAACTATTTCTTTTATACTGTGGCTATTAACACTATTATCCCGAGATGCAAAAGTTGGCTAAGAAAATAGCACCAAAGTAAATTTTTATTAATAAAATCAAAGTTTTATTTGATACTTTATGCTCTTAAGCAATTTTTAATTTTACAAAAAAAAATAACTAAAGTTGAAAAAATCTAAATTTAGTATATAAATAATTTTTGAATAAATTATTTCTATATATGGACAAATAAAAAAACTAAATAATTAACACCACCGGTACGATGCGTTGCGTTCAACTTTACCACGAGCCAAGAG